AACCCTTTACTTGACTTGAAACTCTAAGCTCTTTGCTTGACTTGAAACTCTAAGCTCTTTGCTTGACTTGAAACTCTAAGCTCTTTGCTTGACTTGAAACTCTAAGCTCTTTGCTTGACTTGAAACTCTAAGCTCTTTGCTTGACTTGAAACTCTAAGCTCTTTGCTTGACTTGAAACTCTAAGCTCTTTGCTTGACTTGAAACTCTAAGCTCTTTGCTTGACTTGAAACTCTAAGCTCTTTGCTTGACTTGAAACTCTAAGCTCTTTGCTTGACTTGAAACTAGAGTCTTAAAATGAAGTTAAAACGTTCAATAAAGACTCTTGAACAACTTTAAGAACTTGCTTGACTAACCTCTTAACTCTTAACTTCACTTGACTTCTAACTTCACTTGACTTGGAAACTAACTCTCATTGAATTGGATTATGAATTCAAGGTGTTTGGTCACATGTTACGGATGAGTTCGGGAGGTTTAAATGTACCTTAGAGTGTTGGAAAACAACCATAAAACATAGGTACAATACGAAGGAACATGCATGGGAAGGTATGAAATGAAAGGGAACAGCTCTGCAAGGCGCGGAGCGCCAGCTCCAAAACTTCAGAGGGGGCCTGCTGACACTCTGAGTGGCGCGCCGCCCCAAGGGGGAAACTTCAGAATCCCTTTTTGGGGCGCAACGCGCCAACTCCCTTGCCTAGAAACTCGACTTTTCTCCCTTGTTTTTGCCAACTCTAAACCACCCTTCCTTCAAGAGTTTCAGCCCCAAACATTAAGGATCATCAAATCCCTCAACATACAAGAGATTTAACTCAAAACCATAACCAAAAACATGCCCAAAACAACAAGGGACTTCAACAACACCAACAACACATCTAACAACTTCAACAACACAACCAATCCTTTCTCAATAAATAAAAGGGGCTTGGTGTGTGGGGGAAAAGGATAAACCCACACTATGAACTCACATACCTTAGTAGGGATCACCCTCGACGATATCCACGACGGAACTTGCTTGATCTCCTTGCTCCTTCTTCTCTTTCTCCTCTTCTTCTCCTCTTCAGTCTCAAGCCCTAGCTCTCACTCTTTTAAAATAGGACAAAATGATCCAAAATAAGCCTAACACCACAATATAACCTCAAAAGAAATGGCTAGGGAAAAAGACCAAACTGCCCTTAAAATTTCCGGACGGATTCCCTACCAACTGCCCAACTTTCAAAAGGTATAATTCAGTCATACGAACTCGGAATCGAGCAAACTCGGTGGCGTTGGAAAGACCATTCCACGAGCTATGCAACCATAACCAGAACTACACCTAACTCATCCTGAGCTAGAAGTTATGACTGCTCAAAGTTGGCCAGAAACTCACCTTTTTCCATACTTAGCCAAATTTCCAGATTTTTAAATCTTTCCAAAAATGACTATTTCCAATTCTAACCCTCTTCATAATTATTTCAAATCGTCGGTTGTTACAATAGAGAAGACCCACTTCCAACTTGGGGAAAAAGAACTTCTTTCTTCAAGTCTTCACAAAACCCTCTCCAAACTTGAGAGAAAGAAATATTTGCTAAAGTATATTCTAAACTGAAAATAAGAATAATAATTGTTCCACACTTCCAAACTCTTAAGACTACAACTCTAAATAGTATTTATAGTTTTCACAGATTGTGCTGCGGAGGATTGTTCGGCGACATTAGTTGAGATCGCCGATGAACTCAGTGATCCGCCCTATGGTCAGCTCATCCCCTTCAGTGTCTTGCCTTTAGCATCCTTGCATTATGGATCATTGGGCGGTACAGTACTGCTTCTCGAAACTGATCGGCGACCTGCCGACTGCTCCTTTCCTCGCCTTTTGATCCACTTCCTTCAAGGCTTCGCGTACTGGAACAAAGGGCGGCTTATGTCGTTTCGGTGACTCGCCAAGTTAAACTCGGTGATCCGCTAGATTCCATTTCTTGTTCTTTTTAGCCCTATTTGCTCCGTTTTGCGCCTAAGTGTCCATGCTTCCACTAAAACTTCAAATACCTGAAACTTCAGTATTTTAATAAGGTATTGAGGTAAAATAAGCATTCAAGGACACTATTTCCTTTAAACAAAGCCCTAAATGAGTCCAATTTGTGGACTCATCAACACCCCCTAACTTAAGCTTTTGCTTGTCCTCAAGCAAACTCAACTTCAGCCGTTCAAAAAGGGTGCCTCAAACAGTGCTACGCAAGACTAAATCATGCATGCACACAACAAGACTCAATTTACTTATTCAATGATCAATTGTGTACTCAAAGATTCAAATTGTGACACACCATCACCAAAGATTCTCATGCTCGCAATACTTGCTATTTGTGTAAGTTCAAGCTCAACAAAAGTATCTAAATTCCCTCACACAAAGAATGATTCCATATTCACACACATACATGAGTCAATTTAAAATCAGGAATCAGATACAACGCTCACACTCAAAAAGAGGAACACAATGCATGTTTTCACCCATAGGTTTGCCCTTATTTTCCAATTGACTTTCGATCCAGCTTACTCAAGATAAAAAAGATCTTTCTAATGATTGTAATGGGGCTGAGTGCAAAGGTATGATCATTTAGGTTTAGTGACTTTTTCCTCATGAGATGTGATGTTCTCAAGATATCCTCTTCCCTTCCTTCCTCAATTTTTCTTCTAGCGCTCATAAGTCATCCTATTATTCGTTCTCCATGTATTGCTTGGAAACCCAGTTTCTTTTGCACTTTTATTCTACAACTTTCTTTTTCTTTCTTTTCTTTTCTCTTTTTTTTTATTTGGAGGGTTTCCATTTTGTTTTGCAGTACAATAGGTGCAGGAGGCTTTCTTGCACTTCTTGACTTTTCCTTTTCCTTTTAATCCCACCCCCAACTTAGACTTTTGACCTAAGTTGGCTATTCACTAAACACATGTCAAGAGGATTGTAGGTAGTGGATGAAAAAATCTAGAGTTTATCAAGGTTCTTCCAAAGAAAGGTAAGGCTCAAAGGTGTTCAAAAGAGTTTCACACGCTCACAGGTAGGTCACAAAAACAAGTATATGTCAAATTGGCTCACACTCTTTAAAATTGCCTAATTAAGATCATCTAAAGAGTACACCTTTCTAAATCAATCAGACTAACGGGGAAAATTCTAGGT